TCATGTGGATTCGGAAGATTTGGATTACAGCGCACGAATAAAATTGTTTCATTTCGTAATTATGTTGCGTTTTTGGTGTATTTTATAGTTCTATTGTTAGTCACAGCATGTTGGGAAAAAACGCCTTTTGTGGCCTATGGCAATCAAAGTAAACATTATATGACAAGTAAAGGTTAAACGATTGCAGAAATGTTATTTATTTAAGGTTTAAAATGAAGTCTTGTTTAACGTTATGTAGGCATATTCTTGGAAACGAGCTGGCAGCAGAAATCACACAACAAAACGGAATGTTATCATTTCATAAGTAAACAATTTAATAATGCAATTGAAAACAAGCTAATTCATATGACAACTAAAAACTAATAAAATTAATGCCGCGATTTCAATATTCATAAGGATTCATTTTTAGGTGTCGTCAATACGTCAATTTTGTACGTTTAAATGCTGAAAATACGTAAGTATTTGTACGTTTAGATGCTGAAAATACGTCAGTATTGTACGTTTTAGTGCCTGTAAAAACATAAGTAAATGTACGTTTTATAGAACCACGTTACGTAAAATACATATGAATTATCATGAGATCACGTTGGTATTCTGCTCAAGTACATCTTCTGGTACTCCTGAAATGATCTTCATGCAGAAAGTGAAGGGACAGTCCATGAACCCTTTCTGAATCATTGAATGAGTGCTTTTTTATGTCATATCATTAGTTTAATAATGTATTTACATTAAAATAACATATTTAATACATTTAGTACCATGCTGGAAACTGCTTAAAGCTATATGACTTTAAAAGTAGTAATTCACCTAAAAAGGTGAAAAAAATTTGCTGACAATTTACTCTCCTTCAGGCCAACGAAGATGTATATCACTTGCTCACCAGTGAATCCTCTGCAGTGAATGGGTGCCATCAGAATGAGAGTTCAAACAGCTCATAAAACAGTGTGTTTGTAAGAAACAAATTCATCAAGACATTTTTAATGACTCACATTTTGGCCAAAAGCAATGGTTTAAAGTTAAAACTATGTTGCATTTGTTTCTTTAAACACGCAGCTTTTTACTTCACAAGACATTAATTAATGGACTTGAGTGGATTATTGTGATGCTTTTATTAGCTATTTAAACTCTCATTCTGATCACATCCCATTCGTTGCACAGGATCCATAAGTGAGCAAGTGATGTAAAGCAAAATTTCCCCAAATAACTTCAGGCGAAGAAACA